CGGGCAGTCAATCAGAGCCGTTAATAGTGCTTTTTCATCTGCTCATTTAATTAAATTAAAATAAAAAAGGCACTATTAATGGCTCTGATTGACTGCCAGTGTAAAAAACTTTACACTGACAATGTATAGGTGATTAACTATATATATATATATATATATACTTTCTATCTATCTTTACCATAACATTTTTTTTGCGAAGTGTGGTCATTTATAATATTCTCTTGATTTATCAATAATTTTATTGTAAGTTTTTTAATTCATGCGATGACTCACAGTGTTGAATGTATATATGGTTCACCGTATTTCAAGGTTGTTAATTATTTATACATTATCAGTGTAAAGTTTTTTTATACTGACAACCAATTATATCTTTTAATTGTGTCATCCGATTTGTTCTGTCCATTTTTTAAGTAGACGAATGAGGGACGGTCCCCTTCTTTACTTTTTCGTAATACGCTTTAGCTCTATTTCCCGAGAACTAAAGATTGTCATTTCGGGCTGGATCTTAAAGTCTTCACTAGAGTCTGCTAGCTCGCTCCTCTGTACTATAGGAGACTGAGACCAAGGGGTCCAACTCTTCAGTGGGAAGCAAGTGGGATTCTTTCACATCAACTAAGGCCGACACTATAAATACATTTACTTTCAATAGTGACATGACGTAATTAAAAGATATAATTGGTTGCCAGTGTAAAAAAACTTTACATTGACAGTGTATAGGTGATTAACTCATATAGGTATGTTATTTGAAAATAAAATTATTCTTTTCTTTTATTAATTAAAATTAGTTTCTTAATTTTTTTAATAAGCTCATTCTAATAACAAATAAGACCAAATAATTGAGACATTGATTAGAGTGAGAATACTGTTCTCCACGTTATTCATTCTATTTTATAATAGATTGTGTTATTTTGAGTCTTGTTTGACATGAATTTCCTTTTATAAATATATTTTTCTTAAATGTCCAAGATTCTTTTACAATTAATTTTTTTATTATAAATAATTATGTTTATTTATTTATTTTTTTTAAATATGTTTTTAATCCTTGTAAAATGATTGAGTTTCAATTTTGAGTCTCTGTGAAAAAAATTCTTTGTTTTTTTATTTTTCAAAAATTTATAAATATTATTTTTGGTTCTTGTAAAATAAGTAAATTTTGGTTTTAATTTATGTAAAATATTTTTCTTTGATCTTCATCTCTCTAAAATCTAAAATTACTATTTTTGATCCCAAAAATTTTAAAGTAGATAAATAACATTTATTTTAAGAATTTATACAAAAAAACAGAGATATCTCTATGGTATCACTAACGATTGTTGGCATCACCTGAAATAGTCATTTGTCCTTTTAATAAATAAATAAGTAATTAACAATAATTATATAATAATAAAATCTAAAAACAAAAATTTCAAATTTTAGAGAGATGAAAAACAATTTTTTTTTATAAGAATCAAATTTAAAACTTGTTCTTTTTGCAAGGAATATATATATATAATTTTTTTTTGTACATCTCAATTTTTTTGGGTGCTTATGTTTATATTTATTTGAATTCACTATTTTCTTACCATGTTGATTTTATGGGTTAATAAATATCATAAATTTGTACAATTAATTTTATACGATGGTTCTTTTAACAAAGCAATGTATGGTGTTAATATTTTTTTTTAAAACTTATAATCAACTTTTGAATTGGTATAAAATGTTTGACCTTAACATTGACAAAACTTAGAGGTGCTTTCACGTTCGTTCTTCCTTCATGTACGAATGAGATTGGAATGGTAGTGACAAGGATTGGAACACCTATAAAGACTCTAATACTTTAATCGATGACGATTTTAATATTGTGACATGTAAAATGCACACATGATACTATTAACTTTAACCTATTTAAAGAAAATATATTTTAAGGTGGATTGATGTGGTTAAGGGCTTAAGGCTCTTGTTGGGAAGGTTTTTTTTTTAACCCATTTAGAGTGATATATATGCAAATAAAAACATGTCCAGATGAATGTACGCTAACAAATGTTATTATCAGACATACGTATACATATTTTTTTAATTACAATATATTAGTTAGTTATAATTAATATTATTTTAAAAATATATTGATGATATTACTTGTTACCATATTCTAATTGGAAAAGTAAATGAATGTATGTTAGCAAATATATATTTCAAGAATTATATATATAATCCTTGATTTAAAGCTACAATTTCAAATAAGGAAACCATAGTATTAATATGGTTACTATTTCGGTGAACATGGGAGCTTAAGTTTTGTAGTTTCCAATAAAGAAACCATAGAATTTAACTAAGCCGTGTAGTTTTTAATTTATGCTACAAAAGGAATCCAGAATCAATTAGTCTGGCACACACAAGATAAGAATCTGATTCTTGCTTTTCAATTTTGACGTGCACACCAAAATTTTCTATTTTCCACCTTCAGATTCTGTTGTTTTACTTTTACTAGTTTGCCATGTACCATAACTTGATAAGTGCTCAAATTGCATATTTTTATGCTTAATTTGGCACTTTTTTTGGGAGAGATGTAAGTAATTTTGGTTGTATTTGACCCTCCAAATAGATGAATTAAGATTAATCTAAGAAGTTACAAGAGTGTAGTTTCTTTGGTTGAAAATATTTTCTTTTTGTGTAGATTTTGATGAAGTTGGAAATCCAAGGCTATAGCTCCAAAGCCAAAGCTACAGCCATGAAGCTTGAACCAAAAAGAAGTGTTCCAAAGAGTTAAGGCTATAGCTCCATATTCAAAGCTGCAGCCACGAAGCCTGAACCAATTCCAGAGAGTTGAAGCCATGAAACCAGAGCTCCAGCCTTGGAACATTTTAGGCAGTCCAGAGAAATTCAGAGCTACAGCCCCCATTCCAGAGCTACAGCCTCCTTGGGTTAAAAATCTCAACTTTCACTTGGACAAGACGTATTTTAGGGCAAGAAAGGAAGGAAAAAAAGGGAATCGAAACGAAACGAAACAAAAGAAAAATAGAGAGAAAGATCACCCAGGAGAAGAGGAGAGCTTGAAGATTAGATTTGAAGATTGGCTTGCTTGAGAACGAGGACCCATTTTCATTTCTTCTCTTCTATTGTGTAATCTCATCTTTTTATTTGCTATGGCCCTCACTATGAGTGACTAGTTTCTCTTGGATTGGATTCAATGTAACTACTAACTCTATTTCTTCTTAGATTTATATGATATTCAGTTCTATTACTTGTGTTTGGTTCTTCTTTTAATGCTTAATCCGATTTGATTACCCGTTTTATGATATTAGGTTTTTGAACCTTGTTGGGAAACATTTTGAAAACCCTGAAGTGAATCATTCACCTAATAATCTCTTGTTCTAGGAATAGACTTGATTTTGTTAGCCATTTTGGTTCAAGTTTTTGTCTTAATGCAAGGTGTTAATCTTAAATCATAGAGGAATCATGTTTAGGGTTAACCACCTTAGGGCTCAATTTTGAGGAATCTGGTTGAGCTAATTATTGAACATGGAAGTAATAGAAGTGAAGTCATATTTATTTGATGAAGATTAAAAGAGTTAGAAAGTACATTTGAATCCAATCTCTTTCTCATATAAGGTTTTCTATTAAATTCATACTATTGCTTTTAATTGCTCTTTTATAAACTTAAATCAATATTTCATTCATGTTCTCTGTAAACAAGAAAGGAAATTACTAGTATTCCCAAATTCCTGAGAACGATATCAAATTACTACAACGAAGCTTGGTCCGCTTGCTAAGAGTGAAAAATCCTTCACCATAGCTCATTAATACATCTCAAAGCAGAATTGTCTCTAAACTTCTTTTAACTTTCATAAGTAGGTTTTTGACGTTCTTCTAGACTATCCTGCACGCATTTGGATTTTCATCGCTGAACATGGATGTGATGCTTCCATTGGCATTTTGGTAGTGTCCAGTGTAGTGTTCCATACTATTGTAATGGGCGTGCCTTGGTGGTGACCTCACATACTCATATTCAGTGACATAAGGTGATAGCCTATATGTATTATAACTATGTGTCACATACACTGGTTGAGGTTGCTCTTCAAGAAATGTTGGGCTACTATGGTATCTATCCCTCCACTGTCCAACATAGTTGTGACCAGAACCAAATCTGTTTCCATAATTAGGTGGATTGTGGTGTATCCAATGAGCCTCTTTTACATCATTGGTTCTTGGAGACTGCTGGTCTAGATTATTCTCTGCATGTGTTGGTGATGGTGTTGCCTCATGTTGTGGCTGTTCATGAAGTGGTGTGTCCCTCGGGGGTTCCTCTACTTGAGTTGGTGGATTTTCTTCATGTTGTGTTGCTTCAAGGGCTTGTGCATTTTCTTCAGGTTCTGGTTCTGTTGGTTGAGATGAAGACTCAATTGGTTCAATATTGCAAATGGTGGCTATCTTCCTTGTCTTCTTAATTGCTTTGACTATTTTTTCAGGATCTGTCCACCCAATTATTGTTATTTTTTGTTGAGGGAAGTCAATATAGAGATCATATATACCTGCAAGAGGAGTTTGTCATAGAGTTAGTTGATTGAGAGGTAATATGATCCATGCATGTTAAAGCATCAATTAGTAAGGAAATTATGGCACATGCTTACCATTTATGCCACTGAGTGCTTTCTTAATCTTCTGCACACATCCGTTACAGTTCATTCGGATATGTATCTCTGTGACTCGAGGTTTCTGCATTTAAATGTTTGATGAAAGTCTATATCTAAATTGAAATGGCAGGCCATAATTGCAAAGACATGTTAACCAATAAACATGCATGGATTTCAGATGCCGTACCTGGAACTCTGGAACCATGGAGCTGAATTAGAAAGACCAAAGGATGTGTTAATCTAATGAATATGTGACTGACATATATGTACATGGGAACGGAATATCATGTTAGGCAAAATATGTGGGACATGCAACGAATCTCTTTTTTATCTTTGGAAAGAGAGAAAAAAAGAAAAAGGATAGGTATTTTATTGTTTGATTGGTTCATAGAAGACTAAAAATTTGTTTGAAGAAATTTTTTCAAAAACATTTTTAGAAAAAGAAAATATCTAATGCATAAGTTAAAAAACATATTTAAGAGAAAATAATACGAAAGAATTTTTACAAATTAGCTTATGAATAAGTTAATTTTAACTTTTATGAAAATTATTATTTAATATTTTTTTATTTTAAAAGTGTTTTTTTGAGAAATTTTTTCAAATATGTTGTAAAGCTTATATTAGATCATTAGAATATTAGATGTGGGGGAGGGGGCAGTGAAGAGGGTAGGCATTCCTTATGAGTATTTTTAAAGGGAATTTGCTTTATCGAAAATGGTCTCTTGACAATGTATAATGTGGAGGGTGAGTCGCTTTATTTTTTTGTTGAAGAATCCACCCCCCCCCCCCCCCCCCCCCCCACCACCCCCCCCGTCACCACCACCGGAGTCACATGCCCCAGCCAAACCAAACCGAGATTGATCCACGTTATGGTGTTGAGAAACGCCTTGTTCCAACCGGTCCAAACCCGTTGCACCATTAATGAGGTTCACTTCACACACTTCTTTTTTGTTTATTAATTCTTCACCGTCATATAATGTAATTTTATGTATTCATAAAAGAACCCCCCCCCCCCCCCCTCCCTCAACAGGAATCCTTTTATCCTAAGAAAATCGGCATGATGAATTTATAAAATGTTAGTTTTATACACAAAAAAAGAAACGAAAAAGAAACTATGATTTGTTATTTATAACGGACTTGACAATTCATGAATGTAACAGGTAAAAGTATGAAGGTTCTACCAAAGTAGTAAAATACTCGATCCCTATAAGATATAATTCTTATTTACTTTGTTCTTAGATTTGATAAACCTTGTGAACCACAAATCCAAAAAGCTTTTCCTTGCCCCACAGCCTTCTGCAAGAAAAAAAAAGCCAATCATCTTTGTTTTATTGTTTGCTGCCTTAAAGTGCATATTCCTTCATATAATTGCTTGATGCTCATGGATTTTGGTTAAGTTATTCAAATTGGTAGAATTTGTCTGGAACAGAATGTCAATTCAGGACCATTTGGTATGATCTTTTTTGAAAATGACAAATACAAAACATGTGAGAGGGTTGAATTGTATTTTGATATCTTTAAAAACAATTAGACAGATCAAGTGATTGAATGGAGGTCTTTGAAATGACAAATTGTGGAGAAATGACTTTCTTGTGATGGAAGTCAAGCAAGATGAGAGATGAGTCTTTACTAGTTAGAAGAAATATGCAATATAAATTCTTAAGAAGTTTCAGATGGAGAATAACAATCCTACGAATACTCCAATGTTTGTAGAAGTCGAAGCTATGCAAGGAAGATGGTACAGAAAAGGTGAATGAGATTGATTTCAGAAGTCTTGTTGGTTGTCTCATGTATGTAACAGCAGCAAGACTTGCTATCTTGCATGTTATATGTGTTTTTTTCAAGATTTTTTTCACAAATTTTATAAACAATTATTAATTAACCCGGAAGTTAATGCAGTCAAAGAAACAAAATACCTAACAAAAAGATCTTCTCAGATATTAAGTAGCAAAAAAAAGGTTTACTTATTTGGTCTTTGGTTCCTTACATGAATTAGAACTGTTAAGCATTTAAATTTATCCATCTTATTTTGTCCCTGGTGAACTTGACTACGTCTTTAGCAATTTTTCCTTCTCTTTTTGCCATGGAAACATCTTTTTTTAGTTACATAAAGGAAGGATTATAAAGCTACACATAACATCAGTTTAAAACTTTAAGGTAGTAGTTAGTAATTAATTTGTATATTTCCTTGATTATGTTCGCATGCTATGTTAGTTGACAATTAGTTATGGCGCATAAGCTCTTTATGCCACTCTTTTAGTAACATAAAATCAAGCTTTAGTTCTTTACCTTTCCACCCAATTGACCAGCTTAGAAGAATTCTCATGAATCATAGAGGTGGGCCAAGTGGTCATCAACCCCTCCTTTTTGGTTCAAAACCTTGTGGACTTCTATAAAGTGCAAGAAAGAATTGACAATCTCTGCTTTTTATCATGAGGAATATACAAGCTTACTATGCATGCGTTGAATTGTCATGCTTTTGTCTGATTATTGTTGCAGGCTATCTAAACTCCAAAAATGAAAAAAAAAAAAAAAAACTCAAATTCTGACAAATTTAGCATTGGTGGTCTCCACCCTCCACTCCAATCTAGCTGTGACGCAGTAGAGAATTTTATTAATTATGGCCACCACACTTCATATTCTACTGTGACTTCTGCTAGAGATTCTACATCCACCATTGATATGATTAACCTATAGAGTATATAAGTGGAAAAAAATAGAGTATATAAGTGTAGAATAGTATGTATCTTATAAGCTGATTTTGTAAAGTTGAATTCGGTCTAAATTTACTTTCTAAGATGATATATAAATAAAGTATCAACTTCATTTATCTTAACAATCATTGTTGGATAAAAGGGTCACTTGTTTTCGGATTATTTTTGGACCACTCATAGATGTTCAACTCTATTATAAAGGTTTGTTAGTTTCACAATGATTCGGCAGAATTATTATTATGATACTCAATCGATTCATAAAGAGGATAGTGAATCTCCAACTCTTTGTTACTACAAAAGTACAAATATTTGTCAAACCACAAAGTATGCCCTTAAACACTAAGGACTTATTAAGGAGTTTAATACTTTGCAAACATTATTCTTATTGTCCCTATATTTGTTGCACACTATCATTCAAAAATTGAATAAATTTGAATATAATCTTAGAACAGTATCTGTATATATACTTGAGAAAAACAAATGAACGATTAAGCATAGACTTGTGGATTCTCCAGCAGGTAGGCTTCCACAACTTTGCAGACTCCAAGGGAGCTTTCCCTTCCTTCCTTTATGTCTTCCTCTTTGATTTCGAAACCCCCAATGACATTGTATTTGCTTGTCATTTTACAAAGGCAACCTCCATCACTAGTGGCCTCAAACTTAACCTCATAAACTATAGAATCAAGCTTGTCCCCCAATGGATCCCCTTCAATCATAGTATATTTGCACACCAAGTTCTCATTATCAACCTCATCAATCCTGTGTTTCACATATTTGAAGGGGAAAGCTGCACCAAAAAGAAACATATAAGGAAATTCTCAAACAATATAGATAGAGATATATATAACTATAAAATCCATTTATTTCACTTTAGTTTGTCTAAAGTGTTTTTACTACCAACAAGTTGTTGATCTCAATGAAATTAGATACTGATAAAGTTAATAGATATTTCATACTGATAATATTAACATGGTTATACCCAATAAATAAATAAGTCTTTTTGCTAACCTTCAGCAAAGTTAACTTGTTCAATGCTTCCAGCTTCCCCATCTCCTTGGATCACGTTGACCTCTTTTATGAACTGTGGTAAGAGCTTTGGAAGCAAATTTCTAGAGTCAGTGATCAAGGCCTTGAACATGCGTGGTGGAGTAACTGGGGACGAATAATCATGTGTAAAAGTTGTGGCTCCCATGACGAATTGTGTAGATTGCAAAAATCAAAGAAAAACTAAGGTTGTGAAAGTTGGATCCCAAGGGAGAGCACTTTATAGATCCTGTGGTTTCATGTGAAGTAGGTTTCGTATTTATAATTGCGGCTTTAAAAAAATGGACATTTATCTGGTAGTTAAGAATGGGAATTTTTTATTTGAAGACTTTCAATGTTAGTGGCTGATTAATAAGTCTTGTATTTCATATTTCCAAATAATTGTACCAATCAAACTAATGCAATACACATGGGCGGCTATTGGTAGAAATGTAGAATCAAAATCAAACCATTTTGCCAACATTATGGACTTGAATTCGTACAAGTGAAAATAGTGCATTTCCTACCTCATGCAAAGTTTGAATCACAAGGTGTCATTCAGCATTTTAGAGCAATCAATTTACCTTAAGGCAATTAACCAAAGAGCAGTGGCTAGAGAGGAAGCAAAGAAAAATGTAACAAATAAGTCAACTTCTAATGGAACAAAGTTAGCAGAGAAGTTTGCTTAAGTGTAATGATTGTGGCACATGATGTTATGCTTTTCATTAGCACTATAACGAATAGTTTCTGGATCTTGATTCTTATGATGAGGACTTGTCTGATTAAAAAAAGGAAAGGCACAAACAAGCCAGGCAATGAAGGCGGCCACTGTACTTTAATATACAAAGACAAATTGCTATAAAATATTCTATACTTGATATAATTAATGTATGTAGATTTTATCTATGAGAGTTGATATTTAATTAGCCAGATAAGCAAAAATAAGAAAATAAATATGAAATTGATAATTAATTAATTAAGTGAATTGATTTAAGTGTTATTTCAGCAGATTTTATTTGCACCTGACGAGGAATAAAAAGAAATGTTAAAGTGAATCGATAATTAAACATTAAAAAATAAAAATAAAAGATTTCAATGAAGAAATTATATATTTGATGAAAAAGACAATATAATATAAAGATATTCTTTTACTTAAAAGATAAGTATTTTAATATGAAATGTAAGAATGAATTGTAATTTATTAATCACACCACTACAAATATATGCATTATGTAAGAGAAAACTAATAATGTATTTGACCATGTAAAGATTTTCAATTATAAACTATTATTTATTATGAATTGTTGATTTTTATAATAAAAGTAAAAAAGTCATACTAATGACAATGTCTAATTGGTTAAAGGTGTGTCAGCATGACCATTCATTTACAATTAGAGGATCCATTATTAAGACCAGTGAGTAAAAGGCATTCTGTGTCTTTTTTTAAATACACAACTGTTGGTAGAGGTAATAAGTGCTTGTTAAAAGATTAAAATAAAACTTATATCAAAAGATTTTTCTGATATTTATTAATTATTATTTGTAATTTTTTAAAAGTTAAAATTATCCATTATAATATGTACATCAAAATTTTATATGTAAGTATTGATATTTAAGTATATTTGAATCCCTTTCGGTTGTCCCAAAAATCAAACAATTTAATTGAGTGCCACTGTGGAACATAAGAAGTGTACTAATATTTGAAGAACCCAAATTTCAAACATTGCAGACCCTTATTATACAAAAGATAACCATAAAACAGTCTCGTGAGGTTAATGGGGGCATTAAGTAGACACTAATTAATTATTCAAGCATACACAGCAGGGTTCTGCAGGAGATAGGCTTCCACAACTTTGTAAATGCCCAAGACCTTCTCCTTGCTAGCCTTAATGTCCTCTTCATTGATCTCAACATCACCATTAAGATAATACTTGCTTGTTACCTTACTTATGCTACCACCATCAGGTGCTGCTTCAAACTTAATCTCATGAGCAATGGATGCAAACTTATCCTTCAATGACTCACCTTCAATCAATGTGTAACTGTAAGTAAATGTGTCCTCGTTGATCTCATCAATCCGGTTCTTAACACTTTTCACCTGGCTGCCTACAAAAAAAAAAAAGAGCAAGTTATGTAAAGAATTGAGACTTCAAACTCACTATTTTACCAATAAGAATGTTAAAGAAACTTTCACTAACACTATCTTTCTAAGATTTCTTTTATTATTAGTTAAAATTTACTGAGAATCATAAATTTTGTGAGTCTCATCTCATTTAATGAATTTCTCTCCTTATTTAGTGGAAGAACTACCAAAATTTGCAAATTTTAACTGATAATAGGGAGAATATTATCAAGAGTGTGTCAAATAGTGTCCGCTAGCATTTCTCTGACCAACAAATGTGATACTACTAAATTATAAATTTTACTATAAGTCTGTGGTAGAAAGTTATATGCCTTCAATAAAGTTAAGCTGCTTGATGCTTCCAGCCCCACCATCGCCTTGTATGAGTTCAATGCTCTTCACGGCATGTGGCAGAAGTTTTGGAATGAGGTTGGAATCATCAACAACCAACGCCTTAAACAACCTTGATGAAGAGATTGGAGAAGGGTACTCATTTGTTTCAGTGTGAACACCCATGCTAGAAAGTGATATTAGGACACCACTTCCAAGGAACTATAAAATGTGTTTGGTGAATTTAGATGAAATAAGATGTTGAGGGACTGTTATTTATAATGTCCAAGTCCATACCCCCTTTGCTTTTCTTTGTCCCAAAGTGCTATGCTTCGTTGTTTTCGAGATTTGTTTCATTAAATTGAAAAAAAAATATGCAAGATTGGCAGAAAAGGCTGAAGCTGTTTCTTGGTACAAAAATTTGTATCTATCATTTACCAAGTCAAAACCTGACTCGGCAGAACAAAATGATGGTGCTCATGAGCTAGAATATCCCATTATTTCGTGGTAAGTTTTTCATATAGGATTAAGTTATCCAATGAATTTGGACAATTGCTAACAGGTCTTGTTCTGTATCGAAAATTTCTAGAAAAGGATTTTTAAATTATCTGTTGAAGTAGTACTACTGAAGTATATATCCTATAATATTCTTTTAGGTTAAAATTATGTTTCATATTATATATAGTAATCAGTAATATCTTACCATGTGTCACAATATTAATCAATAATATAATTAAATATTCCTTAAGGATCCTTGACAGTTTATCTAGCTATTGCCTAGAAGAAATCAGAAGTGGTTTTAGTGGACATTATTGGTTTTAAAGTTCCCAAATGGACCATCACTCTGCTCAGACCATTAAGGTTTGTAAAAGACTTTGAGACCAAGGTAATGGTCCAAGTTCTTGTAAATCAAATGTTAACTATAGTGGATGGATGATGATTGAGGTTTCTCATGAGGGATTTTGTTCATCTTGAAGGACCAACTAATATACACTATGAAACTTCGTTTTCCTTGACTTATGGAACATACGTAGTTTGATTACTTACATAAGATTGAGGTTTTCTCATGAGAGATTTGTAGTGGTCTGGAGCATTGATTGATTTTCTGTCTGTCCATGATTTTACCTTCAGTCTCTGATTTGACACTTTTATGAGCGACACCATTAACTTAGTTAATATCTGATGGTGGTTAAAGGGAAAAAAGAAAGTGCTTATCACACATAACTGTTTCACTCACTCTGGTAAATGGTGGCAGAATCAGAGTCTAATAATTGTCTCAGTTTTTCAATAAAAAAAAGGAAAAGAAGGGTCCCAATTCACTATTGTGTGGATATTATAATCTTCCATATTTCTAGCACCTTAACTATCAACTATCAAGACCCATCAAAGTAACTCAAAAATTTTATTATAAGCCATATCATAGTTGGCTCCAAAGTAGACTAAAGGCTGAATTTAGAGAACATGATATTATAATGTAAAGCAAAGGTGCCCTATATGTAAGATCACTTCAAGCATAGGCCTCTGGGTTTGCCACAAGATAGGCATCCACCACCTTGAGGAGAGCCAAGCCTTCCTCCCTTGCAGCCTTGAAATCCTCCTCTTTGACATCAACCCCTGGTTTGGGCTGATACTTGCTCACATTCTTAGTCTTGCAACCTCCCTTTTCAGTGGCCTCGAACTTAATCTCATGTGAAATTGCGTCCACCTTTTCCAGTGCAGCATCCCCCTCAATAACTGCGTAACTGTATGTCAATTTCTCTTGGTCTATTGCATCAATTCTATGCTTCAAGCTTTTGATTTTATCACCTGCATTGAAGCCATTACCAACGATCTCTTTGTTACTCATTTCAGTTTCAAACTTAATAAAAGATAAAATAATATAAGAACAAAACTTTGGACAATTTCATAGGAATTTGAAAATATGCATCCTGAAGCCTACATTAAATATAAATATATATTATTGAGGTGAAATTCCGATTCTGATCGGACAATGACACTATGTGTCAATTTTGCCAAACTCTTGGTCACAAATAACAAAAACAAAAAATAAGTGATAAAGTGAAAACTAGTGTGAAATGATGCAACTAGCCTTCAGCAATGGTAATCTCCTGAATGCTTCCAGGGCCACCATTCCCTTCAATCAGTTGAACATTCTTAATGGCTTCAGGCATCAGCTTGGGGATGAGGTTAGGAGCATCAAGAATCAAAGCCTTGAACAACCTCCCTGCCTGGACAGTGCTAGTAAACTCCTCAGTGAAAGTGAGGGCCTCCATGTTGCTTAGAAGTCTGAAGTGAACTACAAAAAATGGCTAGAAACTTGAAAGTCTATGTAGCACTTTGAAATGCAGTGATGAGAGATCTTAGAGACGTGTGCATTTATAGATGAAGAGGATAAACATTTAATGTTACATATGGCAATCTTTCAACAAACTACCAAGGTGCCTGTCCCACTATTTTAAAATGGACCGTCCTTGCATGCCTCATTAATTCCAATGAAAGTCTTTGTTTCCTTTACCTTCTTAGCATCTAATCAACATATACAACAATGCAACCTGTGAGCCTATTACTTCTAAATCTATGCATTTGATATTACGAAATCACATGCATAGTATTAAAACCTTAACATTTTCATAGATGCCTCAAATTTCCAAATTTTCTTTCTGACTTGAATAATTATTTTTCCATACGGCCACCGCTATTTTAAGTTAGAGAATCACTGTCAAACATAAATGTGGCGGTTGGATTGCTATTTGAGCCTCTAATTCAGTTGAAAATTTATTGGCTGCAACTTATACATCCACTGTTTGTAGCGACAAGGATCTTAACTTTAACAAAGAAGCAAATAGAAACATCTTAAAAAATGAAACTGATGTAGAAATGGCTAGCATCTTAATACAAGAGTAAATAACAGTTAACACAATAAAGATTCATGTCCTTCTGTTTTTCCATCGTAATGCTATTGTTCTTGTTCATAGCCATCATGGGATTATCGTTGCTATTTTTACACATCATAGACCACAGCCACCTAGTGTGCCTGCGTATTTAAGGCAACAAATATCACACTCATTGATGAGTTCCCATTCCCTACCCTGACACAGATTGCTTTAAACTTTTAATTAATTGTTTCACTATGTACAGTAAAAATAAATTTTATGTAGAAAAATAGAAGTTGATCGAAGCCTGTCCTATTTAATGGCCGAAAAACGTAGTTGTGGTCGTCATATTTGTTATCTACTCCAGCGTGATTGAATGTTCTTTCTTTGTTATATTAAGGAAAAAATAATGCTAAAGAACAAAATAGCAATGTTAATCTAAAGGGGTAAAATTAAATAATTAAAAAAGAGTTGCTCAATTTAATTTTTTTCCTCAATTTATATAAGAATACCTAATAATGCATATTTTTATCTACGGTTTGTTTTGAATTAAGAAAAAATATCCTATATTTTCATATAATTTTTTTTGATTATTTTGTAATTCTCTACATTATCTGAGTTCAAAAGTAAATATGTTTTCAAGATTTTGTCGTGTTAGAATACTAAATCTTTCTCTTATTGAAGATTTGAATATTGGTTTCATTATTTAATAGTATATTTTTTTCATTAGAACAAAAACTAGTTGATTAAATTAATTTGAATTCACACTTTAATTATATTTAATAATTAATATTTAAAAAATTATTAATGAATAATATATATAACCGGTTGTGTAAACAATTGTTATGTTATTAGATTATTAAATAATTAAATAATTCATATTAATCTATAATATGCTGCTATAATAAAGGGATATACATAAAGTCTCCATGCATATTAGGGTTCATTTGTATACTATTTAGATAAACTTTTTTAAAAACATGATTATAAGAGAAATAAAAAAAAATCAAATATATTTATAAAAATAAAAATTAATTTATGCATAAAATAATTTATACAAATTTTATTATATTTATTTCTCTATAAAAAAAATTTAATTTATTTCTCAGGTCAGGTACATTCCAGAAAGATCAAGTTTTGATTCAAATAATTATTTGTCAATTATGAATGATAAATAATTTTATTTTCCTCGGTACAGATCGAGTTAAAACTAAATTACATAATAAGCTCTTGTAGCTACAAATTCCCAAAATTATCTGTGTTTAGCAAAATTACAGAGAATGGAATAGCATAAATTAGGTTTAGGGAATTGTTTGGTGAGAAGAGAGGCATCGGGAGAGGGAAAGCTGAGCCTGTTGGCACTGATGGCGCTTGAGAGCGGTGCCGGCGGTGGAGCAGAGGGTGCGCACCGCCTCCGATTCCTCAGGACACGCTAACGAAACAAGGCACATGGCCAGAGCCTGGTTAAGGTGGCGGCACGCTGAGTTGCGACTCGGACCCGGTGGTACTCGCTGGTGGCACTCCCGTAGCGCCTTCTCCACGCGCTCGCACGTGTCTTCCCTTCTCATTCTTTTCCTTCCAGATCGTACTCACAGTCACCACTGTAAATGGAATGCATAATTGGTTCGGCTCATTCTGTACTTGGATATCAATATGACGAGTTAATAATTATAAAACTCTAAATTATATATTATATTTTGGCATTTTTAAAAGAAAATGTTCACATTTAAAAAATAATATATTAAATTTTAAATTATTTATTATAAATTTAAGATATAATATGTAAGTAAACCTATTATTCTATATGTAAAATAGAATAATTTTTTTATTTTATATACGCGTTATTCTTCTCAAATTTTTTTTTACATTTATTTTTATTTGAATACTCTTTTAATATATATTTTTAATAATAAAAAATATTTTTATATTATAATATAAATTATTAATCATAAATGTTACATGTAATTTATATGGTCAAATTTATTTATTTATTATAAATATCAATTACAATATAATATATTATTAAAATATTTAATTATTATTAATTTAATTATGTAAAATAAATAATTATCTTATGCATGTATGCACTAATAAAAAACAACAAATTAGTAAAAAAAAATTAACCATATTTTTTATAAGTGAAGTAATTACTATAAAAAATTAAATTAAATAAAAATGTTATCATCTCAATATAAATTAAAAGTATTTTTGAGATAATTAAAAATAAAAAATTATTTTGGTAAAACTTTTAAAAATACTTATAATAAAGTTGTATTTAAACATGTTTTATATAAATCAGGCGGTGCTGAGTGCTGACGTCCATCCCATCCCTAATTTGTTTCGCACAAACCAGACACAGTTCAATTCGAAGACAAACACCAAAAAGGTTTCGACTTTTCACCTGATAACGTTCCTTCACCCCTCTTAATGTTTGAACATCCTCGCTCTCTTTTCGTTTTTCATTTGTTTTTTTGCCTCCCGCTTTCCCAATTTAAAACCAATGCATCACACCTTGCTGACAGTGCTTGCAGGATGTCAAACGCTGCCGAAGATTTCTCCCAATTCGGGATTTCAAAAGAGGTGCTTTGCTTCTTCCTTTATTTTCACAAAAAATGAGGACTTTTTGGGATGTAGGGCATCTCATTTGATTTTGATTTCAGGAAAAGGACAAGCTTGTAGGAGAAGTGATTAGGTACATGCTTTTTAAAACCCATCAGAATTCAGGGTGCCCTATTAAGAGAGAGGAACTCACACAACTCGTTACGAAGAACTATCATCAGCGTAACCTTCCCACTTTTGTCATAAATGAGGCTAAGGACAAGCTTTCTTCTGTATTTGGCTATGAAATGAGGGAACTTCAAAGGACCCTCCCTTCATCCAAAACCCAGACACGGTCCTCCCAACAAAGTGAGCATTTTGCTCACTCTTTTTTTCTTTTTGTGAATTTTTAGCAACAATTTGAGAGAAAATGATGGGGCATTTACTTTGTGATTATGAACAGGAGTGTTAGCAATATTCTGTGTGTCTATCTGTCACACTCTTCCTAACCATCATTCTACTATTGGGGAAAAATTATTTTAAACTACATAATTAAGAGATACTTATTAAATAAGAAGTGAAACTGCACAAAAAAAAAACGTGAAATAAATTTCAGTAAATAATAAAAGGTGTGTTAGAAAGTTATTGCTAGCATTTCTTGAATAGAATATTTTAGTCAGATGTTGCTGGAGCACTATGAGTCATGTATGTAGTAATTATGAATTTGGATTGTCGTTGTATTTTTTGTCCGTAGTTGATTTCAGGACCAGTAACTGTCTTCTTTAATTGTAAGAAAATGTGTATGGATCGACTTCTATTCTATGAATTGATTGAAAATATATTATTTCATACCTTTATAATCATACTTCTCTCTAGTAATAGTTAATTGATGATTGATCCACCTTTGTGGTTGCCTTGGCTATATGTAAAGTATCATTTGGACTTTGAAGATCTATGTCCTCAGAATAGTGTTACCTAGTAAACGTTAGAGACTAGAGAATGCACTGGGTTCATTTAACATTGTTTTTCTGGAATAAGTAAATCTAGTCTTAATTGCTTTTTACTTGTTTAAGCTGTTTGCATTCTCAGGAGTTTTCCAGCATGTTGTTATTGTTTCCATCTACATTTTTTTCTTCTAATGGTCTTATGATGTTTATTCTTTCAGGTGTTGCAGAATCAAAATCATATGTTCTCATAAGTCAACTTCCTCCTAATGTATATGAAAAATATGTTGTGGATGTGAACACTGCACATCTGTCTGGATTCACTTTTGTCATAATTAGTGTTGTATATCTTGCTGGTGGCAAAATTCCAGAAGGTATGATTACTAATTTAGTATCATAGTGCTAGAATTATGTATGTACATATGCATATGCACTTGGTAAACTCATGGAAGTCAATGCAACTACTTTAAGATCTCTAGACAAATGTAATTAATACAAAAGTTCTTTTAACTGTTTTATTGTTGTTGGCTAAAAAATTGATTGAAAGTTTTAAGGGAAATTCAGTTTTGGTCTTTTTAACACAATGGTACTCATGGTGCGAGTATTTCAGAATCTCTATGGAGCCAAATGAGGAGGATGGGTTTGGGTGAAAATGAAGCAAGTCATCCAGTCCTTGGAAATGTTAAGCAAGCATTGGAACTTCTTGTTCAGCAAAGGTGAGATTTGTTTAATGTGATGGATTTAAATTGGAAGATTTCCCGCATTTTGTGGCAATATATGATTTCTACTGACAAGTGATGACAATTCTTTTTTCACTTTTTTCTTTGCAGGTATTTACAGAAAGACAAAGTTAATGGTCCTGAAGGAAATACTGTATATTATGAGCTTGCTGAGAGAGCATTAGATGGACCCATGAACGACAAGATCAAGGAATATATCTCTCAGGTAGTGTTATGGGAAAGTAAATTATATAAGTTTGTGGTTAGTTCTTTCTTTTTTTAATTCATTTCATTCAATTTAATAGTAGGCAATAAGGGCAAGATTGATTATACAGTTTGATTAAATGCCTATTCAATAAGCACTTATCATGCAAGGGCTTACGCCATGTATTTGACCATGAAACTTGTAAGCATGAGTTAAAAAAACTTATTCTGTTAAGCTAGCTTATTGAAATATGCAAAAATGATCTCTGTGGAAGTTATAACTTGTAAGCTTTTTTATAAGTTCGCTGACAAGCACTCCATAAGCTCTTCCAAATACATGGTAAATGTCTTGTGAACTTCTTTTGTGGGAGCTTTAGCCCAGTGTTGATATATGTTACTATTCATATTATCAAATTGTTGCTAAACGCAATCAACATTGAGAAAAACAGCTGAAGCAAATAGAACTGAGTATGGAGGATTGTTCAGATGTGTCTCCCATGTAGCAAACAGAGAAAAGTGATAACTCAACTATTCAATTTATTTAAAATAAAACCGAGGAAATAGAGTTTACTTTATGTTGAAAGTAATGTGTGGATTGCTGTTTGTGATAATAACCATTGCTCTTCATCAAAGAAAATATTGTCATTTAATGTTGTTGATTTTGAATAATCCTATTGTATTACGTATTCCTTTATGAAACAAGATTTCTCTTGCAGATTGTGAAGGAGAATACTTCAGTGGGTGCTTCCCAAGAGTAGCTGGCTCTTCAATGTCTCATTGAGATATAATTATGCTGGTAAAAGAAAAGGAGAGAAATAGATTTACTAATTGATTACTGAATTTAAGCCCTAAACTCGTCCAGAATATCAATCAAATTTTGTCTTTAGAGAAATCTGCTGATTGGATGTATAAATGTTATGCTATGCCTTTTTCAGTTTAAATTTAAATTTGAATCATGTATATATTAAGTTTATATACTTAAATTCAATCTGATGTATTTAGTGTGTTAGGTTTTATGTATACATTGTTGCAAGTTGAAACCCTTAATGACAGGCTTAACAACTTTATATAGAAGAGTATTAAAAGTTAGTTTTCGATTTTCAAGACTCCACTGGATTGACGACATGGGTCATTATCATTACCCACAACATAATCCTCCAATCTGTTATTGCCGCTAAGTCGGTGCTATTATTGCCGCTAAGTGGTGCTGTTATAGCCACTAAAGTGGTGCTGTTATTGCTGCTATGCAGTGCTGATATTGCCGCTTTACGGTGTTGATATTTGCTGAATGTTGTGATGTAGTATAAGTTGGTTGATGTGCTGATAGCTATAGCTATTTTCTATTCACATATTTATATATGTATGTTGTTTCTTTTCACTAGCTTACCCTTTGTTTCCATTGTGTTTGGACTGCGATGATCATATTGTTATATGGGAGCAGAGCAGGGATAGGTTGGTGGCTGGTGGTAAGTTTGCAGCTGGCAGACGGAGCTGATCCTTTAGGATGTTTAGTTGTTTTAGCTACTTGGTGTAGTAGCGTTTGATGTATTTTTTTGTACATTTTAACTCTATTCAGATTTGGACCTTGTATATGTATATATTTTAACCCTATATGTATACACTTGTTCCTTTCTGTGTGGTGTTTCGGTGTGTTGTGCCGTGTGTAGTGACCAGTCGGGTCGTTACAGCTAGAGCTGTCAAAATGGGTCGTGGCCCGTGGGCCAACCCGGCCCACCTTGAAAACGGGACAGGCCGGGCCAAAATAAATAACAGTTTTACGATAAGTGGGTAAATTTAAACCCGACCCACTTTTACCCGGCCCACTTGGGCTGAACCCGTGGTGGGCCGGGCAGCCCACCAGCCCACTTATTTTTTTTATTGCAACAGCTAACCCAATAGGAACAGACAACATAAAGTGGAAACACTAAGTCTAAAGTCAAAATTATAAAACAAAAACAGTCAAAATTGAAAACCCTAGTCTAGCAAGGAAACGAAATGGGACCACGCCGCACTTCACGTCTTCACTGCTTCAGCTTCACGAAGGCTCTGCTTCACTGCTTCATCTTGACGAAGGTTTCGGTTCACGAAGGTGTCCCTCTACAGGTGGCTTCAACTTCACGAAGGTGCCCCTCTACACTACAAGTTCCGCTTCAATCTTCATATCCCAATTTTCCTATTTAGTTGCTTACCTTTTAGACCATATATGCGGATAAAGAAATATAAGAGAATAACGGGATAAGGAAAGGTGCTAATGCTACAGGGAAACTAGTTTCGTAGAGTTACCACTGCATACGTAGACATTTGATCTCGAAATTTTCGGTGAAAAAGGAAGAATATTTGCTATAAAATACAATGATTTACCTAATTACCTTATCTGAATCAATATTATTATTAAATCTGTCCAGATATAGGACAAGTGTTCCCGCCACCATTATTTGAAATTTTAAATTTTGTTTGTATATTTTTTTTATTTTTTGGTGGGTTGGTGGGCTGGCCCGTTTGACCCACCAACCCGTGGTGGGCCGGGCCGGGCCATAAAAATTTTGACAAAATAAAAAGTGGGTCAAGTTGGGTTGGCCCGTTTTTAAGGTGAGCCAAAGTGGGCCGGCTCACATGGGCCGAACTGGCCCGTTTTGACAGCTCTAGTTACAGCCCCCACTAAGTTCCATATAGATCTGTCTTTGTTGACATATAATTTTTTCATGTATTTCTACATATAAAATAAAAAAATAAAAAAAATAAAAAATTTTAATAAGATAGAAATTGAATCCAAGTAAATGTAATTATTTAATACTTATATTTTGAAAGTCTTATTTAATATCCGATATGAATTTATTTAAATTTATAAATATAAAATATATAATATAAATAATTTTTTAAAAAAATTCATAAATATCAAATTACGCGATTCAATTAATGATGTATTGATCAAACTTTTATCCTATTGACTCAATATTTTGACTATCTGGCTTTTAAAATAATGGATGAAGCATCGACAGGGCCGCAATCTCCACCTCCTAAAACAACAATATTTAGTGCGTGTTTGTATTGGATTCCAAACGTGAATTTTCACGTTTGAGTAAAAGGAACAAATAATAGCTTATGTGTAAATTCATTATTGAACGTAGAGAGAAGAAAAAATTGCGTTCCAAAATGAAATCCAAACACACGGTTAATCTCTCCAATGTTGTGCACTTTTTAAAACTCTTCCTTCGTCTCCACCTTACATTCCTCTCTTCGTTTCATTAATTGTGACTTTTTTAACAACTTTTTTTTTTTTTTATCAATTTGTAACGACTACTTAAAAACACATTTAAGACTGATTGATAATACAAAAATTAAATCAGTGCTGAAAGTTCAATTTTCATTAACAATTATAATTCGTATAATACAACATTAATTTCTCTCAATAAATTCTAAATTCAAAATGTTTTACACTTTTACTTAACGATATAAGTAGATTAGCGGGTAAAATAAATCTGTTAGAAGGTGAGGTTGATCGCGAATGGAAGAAAGTTGATCAAGCAAACAATACAATACTTGATGTACTAGAAAATTTTAAATTAACGATTGATTTTGGAGACAAGTTAATTTCTGAGAGTAGTGGGTAGAGGTAGAACAAAAATATTGTATTTTAGAGACAACTTGTATAGACAGAAAATTTTGTCCCTAAACTATCCTATCTCAAGATTCATCTCTAAACTATTTAATTATTACCAAATATGATTGGAGACAGAAGTGGTCTAAGATATGAATCTATCTCTAATTTTTTTAATTTTATTTTTTTAGAGTTTTTTATTTATTAAAAATTAATATAATAAACACATGTCTTAAACAGAAAGTAAGAAATTAGTAAGGGAAACACAATGTTTAGGCCCAAATATTAGGCCGAACCGACAAGACCCACTCGTTCAACTATGATTTGCTCAACACTCGTTCAGCCTCAAATCAAAGGCCCAGTCAATTAAAAAATGAACAAAAAATTTAATATTGTAGTTCTTGATTGGGCCTTTTAGGCTTGAATCCAACCGGACCCGCCTGATGTGAATCCTACTTATTTTCATTTAAAATATAGCTTCACACCAAGCATTTCTTTAGAAAAAACATTAAATTCAAGCAAAGACTTATATTAGGAAATAGGAATAGGGGCCTTGGCCCTTGAATTTTTTAATTTAAAAACTTATAATATATACTATTTTTATATTAGAGTTTTTATTTTTACTTTTAGGGTTACATTGTGGATAAAATGATATTGAACCTCAAGTGTTATCTTTCTCTTTCTTATTTTTTGACAAAATATTGTTTTCATAATTTTCATGATAATAATGAAATCCTTTTACCATGATAAACTTGTATTAGTCTTTTCATTGCGGAGTTAATTACTTTTAAAAAACAAAATATTTAAGTACTATTTATTTTTTAATTTTTCTCTTTCTATAGTTTATTATAGTTGTTTTAAATCTTATAAATCAACCCCATTAAAAAATACTATATATATATATATATATTTATCTACATTTTAATTTCTGAAAATTTTGACAATAAAATTAAAATTATAAAATATCATAAAAAAAAATTGATTATTATAATAATATAATAATATTATAATTAGAATGTCACAATTCTACTTATGATAAATTAAATTTTTTCACAATAAGAAATAAGGAAGAACTCCTTATTTGTTACATTTTTTTTTTAACTTTTAAAAAAATATAAAAAAAAATAACCCTTTTTAATAATTTTATAAATATTTAAAATACATAAAAATAATCCTTTTATTAATATTGTATAAAATTTGGGATGTTACACTAATAATCTCAATAAATATTTAAAATCAAAATAACCGGTTTTATTTAATAAAATTTTGGGATATTACAGAGGGGCTGAGCCCTTTAGGGGTTGCGTGATAGGGGAGAGTTTCTGGAGCCAAACGGCTGAGCCGTTTTAAGGCGCTAAGTGCTTTTGAAACGGCTGAGCCATTTTGAATGGCTGAGCCCTTTGGGGGCAGAGAGCTAGAGGAGAATCCATGGAGGTAAAGCGCCGAGCGCTTTGGAGGCACTGAGCGCTTTTGTGCTTTCAGAATTTGAATTTGTAGTCTTCACGAAAGTTTTAGCCTTGGATCTTATCTTTCCAATGGCGCTGAAATCACCCAAAAAGGAGTTCTAGAACTCTAGATATGGCTGTTTTAGAGAAGAGGGGTCAAGCTGTCAGCATTGGTTAAGTTGAAGTTGTTTTAGGTGCTTAGGTTGATTGGTGTTGTTTGGGTGGGTAATTTGGCATGATAGATGAGTTTTAAACAAGATGGATGAGTCGTATTATGTATTGAACATGCTGTATGTTGTTTGAGCTGTTATTGCTGTTAAGCTTGGTTGTGCTGAATGTTGTTTGTGCTGATTTAAGCTGTTAATGATGAATGTTGTTGAGCTGAGTGATGATTTTGATGTGCTGTGAGATGTTTATGCTGCATTATGATGTTAAGCTGTAATAAATGTATATTGCCATGCTGAGCTGGGCTGTTATTGATGATTTGAAATGCTGATTTGTTGTGTTATGTTGTGAGCTGTGTTAGCTGGGCTATGCTGTATATTGCTGAGCTGTATGTTGGTTATAGCCACTATTGTGGTGTTGTTATAGCCGCTATGTCGGTGTTATTATAGCTACTATTGTGGTGCTGTTATTGCCGCTAAGTCGGTGCTATTATTGCCGCTAAGTGGTGCTGTTATAGCCACTAAAGTGGTGCTGTTATTGCTGCTATGCAGTGCTGATATTGCCGCTTTACGGTGTTGATATTTGCTGAATGTTGTGATGTAGTATAAGTTGGTTGATGTGCTGATAGCTATAGCTATTTTCTATTCACATATTTATATATGTATGTTGTATCATAACCTTTCTCTGATAGTTGTCCCATACTTAACAGGTTATGATGAAGACCAGGAGCATAGAAAACATCAGAGATGAAATTTTGAGAACCATCCTTCAATTTAATTGCAACTCAACCTTTTCCCAAAATCGGAATGTTAGAATTATTTCCAAATTTCACAGTAGATTTTACCGTTTCATCTAGTGAGAAAAATAACTCCTTTTTCCCACACATGTGGTTGCTGCAGCCAGTATCTAGGTACCAAATATCTCCATCGCCTGAAAAATTATTTGCTACTAGAAGTAAGGTTTGTGGACTATCAGAACTCTCACCAGTATGCTTATATTGATTTTCTGCTATATTTGCTTGTTGTTTGAATCTACAATCTGCAGCTCTGTGCCCGAATTTTCCACAGTGGTAGCAATTGAAATTTGTCCTCTCCTGGTTAGTGAAGCTGCCTCTTCCTCTTCCACGGTTGGAAGATCTGAAATTGTGTCCACCTCTTCCTTGATTAAGTGGCCTGAAATTGTTGTCTCTCCATTGTTGATTAAAATTACAACGACCTCTTCCTCTGAAACTACCACGGCCTCTTCCTTTGAAATTTATATTTCCTCCTTCACGATCTCTACTGTCTTCACTTCGGCTGGGTTCTGCTATGTTGGTAAAATTCACCTGGCTTTTCAATGCTTCTTCATTTCCTTTTTCAGTTTTCTCCAAGATTCTGCTCACATGGCTTTCAATACTACCTTGCAATTCTGCAACTGTCATGGTGTCTGTGTCGTGGGACTCAATTATTGTAGTCACCACATGATCAAACTTCATCGGCATGGTGCGTAGAATTTTCTCCACCACCTTGCTTTCAGGAATATCTTCTCCATATACTCTCATTTTGTTGACGAGATCTGTAACTCGTGAAAAATATTGTTCCACGGATTCAGAATTCGACATTTCATATTTTTCATATTCCCGTCGCAAAGATTGCAACTTGGATTTTTGAGCTTTCTCTACTCCTTTGTATGATAGCTTCAAAATATCCCACGCTTCTTTGGCTGTTTTGGCATTTGCTATTTTGCCAAAAATTGAATAATCTACACCTTGGTGAATTTGTGATAGCGCCAACTGGTCCTTCCTTTTAGTTGCATCATCTGCTCCTTGTTGTAAGCCTGGTTCAATAAAGCTCCAAATATTATGAGCTTTCAAATGGGTGGACATCAATAATGCCCAATAATTGTAATCCAGTTTTCCATCTAATTTGGGACCGGACCAAACAATATTGTAGTTGGTGGCCATATCTCTTTCTCAAATAGACTCTGAAAATTTTGATAAAGTGAGAACTCTCTTGTTCCTCACACAAATATTTTTTTTTTCTCTCACACTATCACCGGACTCTCTGGCTCTGATACCAATTTGATATCAGTGGGACATAATTTTTATCAAATACACTCATATACACACAGCAGAAACAAGAGAAACGGAAGAGGAAATTTTTCACTCAACTTACATACACTGCATTTCACTTATATTTTTCGTTTTGCATACACGGCCTTTTATAGGCAAATTAAAATAGTAAACAATAATATAATATTCGAAAACGTATACAAATTTGAAACGGTGTAGCCTTCGTTGAATTTCAATTTCAATTCCGTGTTGCAACCATTCAATCATTACGGTGCAGCAAATGTGGAATTCTCAAATTCCAATTTACTGTTCATCAAATTGAAAATTGTTGGCAGTCTCCAAAATTGAAATGTCAAGTTTACTGTAGCTTGATTTAGATTTCTCACAAGACACCTTACGTAAAAATCTCCACAATTAGGAACATGAAGAAAGGAAAATAAATATCACGGTGGAATGATTGACAAAATGACCCGAATTAACTAACAAGTTCTAATAGAAAGTCCTTTTTTTTGGTTAGTAAAACGAGTTATTTGCTGTTTTTCGGATCATGTTAAATAGCTATACAACTATTTCGTGCAAAGACTTGGTGCGATAACTAATCACGTATAATTTGTTTGACTAATCAAGGATGCATAACAATACTAGGGTTAAATCATCAATTTGCTTTTTTTCCCCCTTCATGAACATAGATATACGAATTTTAATGTGTAAACAGAGTGTAATTTTTTTTAGTCAAGCATCATCAGTTTGTTCTTTTAAGTGTTTAATAGTTAAATTCGTACATGTTACTAACTTTATAGACAACAATAACCTTAAATCATGTTCCAAATAGGTGTCTTTATTTTGTTCATTACTCTCTTTCATAATACATATTGTTCAATTATTTTACAAAACTAAGAAAAACAGAAAGAGTATAACAATTTTATGAAATTAAATTTATTATTATTATTATTATTATTCTTTATTAGAAGTAATATAATACAACAATATCATTTGCACACACAAGCAACTCCAAAATAATATCACACATCAGAATCAGAAGCAGCACAATGAACAGTGGAAACTAAACGGGGTGTATAGAAATTTTAGTTGTAATGAGGATTAGCCAAAAGATAATCCTCAATAGCCTTGACGAAGGCAGCAGAAATGTCCTGGTTAGCCTTGAGAAAGTCTTGTGTGAGCTGAGCATCGCCTTTGGTGTAGTATTTGCGTGTGGCCTTTATGATGCCTCCTCCATCAGGCTTTGGCACCAATTTGTACTCATAACTCACCTTCTCCAACTCCAACTGCTCAGACAGAACACCGCCTTCAATTATGCTGTACTGGTACACGTAGTTATCCACGTCGATCACATTCACTTGGTGCTTCACACTTCCTCCTAATCATATACATAATATATAACACCAATTATCGTATTCTATCAGTACAAGCTCAAAACACATGCATGTATTACGAATAGGACTCTGTATACCAATCAATCCGGCCTAACCCATCAAATCAGCACATCAGTTGGACAAGTTCAAGTTTGCTCCATAAAATAAATAGATATTTTTCTTCAGATTCTTATTTGGTCCACCAAAACTTGCCAATAAATGGACTAGTTCATGATTAAAATAATTAAATGTCTAATCTTATTATTATCATTTTTATTAAAATAATTATTTTAAGTTTCATAATACACTTATAAAATTTTATCTTTATATTCATTTTAATGTATTTTTTGCTTAATTTTAAAATATATATAAACTAATTTTTCCTATCAATGTTTTTAATATATATATAGAGAGAGAGGAAGTAATCAAATGACACAGTATAACTTTTATCAACTACTACATCATTCAATAACTTTATATTAAATGTAAATTGTGTTGATTCAATCGGTGAATTGTAACCTCATATCACTTTGTATGTTTAAAATAAATTTTGTTAAAATTGAACAACTATAAAAAGATAATCGAATTTGTTCATATTTTAATATATTTTAAATGTATATATTATATATATATATATAAATATAGTATCAAACAAATTTGGATTAATATAACATTTTGTATATATGATTTAAGTAAAAGAAACTTTCAATTTAACGATTAGACTAACAAAATTCATTTTTTATATAAAGTTATTGACTGGTGTAATAGTCGATAAAAATTATATAAGTGTTATTTAAATTCTCTTCTCTCTCAATAACTTTTGTTAATAACTTTTATCAAACAATATTGACATAACTTTTAGCAATTATTACATCGTTCAATAACTTTTAATTAAATGTGAATTTTATTGATTCAACTGTTGACTTATAACTTCATATCATTTTTTATGTGTATATAAACTTTTGTTAAAACTGAACACTAATTTAAAAGTAATCAAAGTTTTCATATTTTAGTATATTTTGAAATGAAGAAATGAGCCCCAACTGTCTATTTATAGACTTCAGACAGGGTCCAGAACGACCCGTTGAAAAATTGGAACGGCCCGTTCTGGATATGGCCGTTATATGCAAAATTCTTACTCTATAATGGCCCGTTCTTAAATCAGAACGGCCCGTTCTGGATTCGGAACGGCCCGTTCCAACCTAAGATTTTTAAGTCTTTATCTTAACTTGGAACGGCCCGTTCCAAACTGGGAACGGCCCGTTCCAAATTGGGAACGGCCCGTTCTAGTTAAAGTTTTAGCCCTCCTTTGAAGAGTTTGGAATGGCCCGTTCCAATCTTGAAACGGCCGTTCCAATTTAGGAACAGCCCGTTCCAGTCTTCTAAAATTAGCTTATTTGGGCCTTTTGGGCCTTCTATAGTCCTATCTTGTCGTTTGCATGCTTGTAGACCCCTAAAATTGTCCGGGTCGGAAATAAGACTCGAAGACTCTCGAAGACCGAAGGAAAGTCAGCCGAAAGGACTCCTGGAAGACCCTAGGATGATTCCTTATGTCAATTTTTTTTCTATAAGAATGAAATATCAAATCATTTTGGATTAATATAAAATTTTGTATATATGATCTAGGAATAAGAAATGTTTAATCTAACGATAAGTTTTGAAAAATTCACATTTAATTAAAAGTTATTGAACGATATAATAATTAATAAAAATTACATCAATGTCATTTGAATCCTCATATATATGTGTGTGTGTTGGGAGTTATTGTATGATATTTGTCTGAAGAGATATTTTATGATGAAATATTGTCTGCTTTGAGTCTAAGCCCTCACGATTTTACTTTTGGTCATTATCTAAAAGGCCTTTCAAACATTGGAGTATGTGTGTGCTTTATAAGTTGTTATCTTTTCTCTTATTTTATCGATGTGAAACTTATTTGTATCCCAATAATCTTCCCCTCAAACAAGGGAACTAGCCTTTCATGCATGCAGCGGAATCTGTAATCTGTGTACTTATATATCACATTAAGCATACACTTTACAATGATGAGATATTGTTTACTTTGGGCCTAAGCCCTCACGATTTTACTTTTGGTCATTATCCAAAAGGCCTCTCAAACATTGGAGTATGTGTGCTTTATAAGTTGTTATTTTTTCTCTTATTTTATCGATGTGGGACTTGTTTGTATCCCAATAGTGTATGTGTATCAACATTAAATAGCATCCGTTAAGAACAAATCATAAATTTAAAATAAAAAAAAATTGAGTGTCATTATTTAATGAATTTAATTTTTATATGACAAAAATTTACATTATTAATCAAATAAATATTATAAAATTTAATTATTTTTAAATTATATAGAAATTTATAATTAAATGATAATATTTATACTATTAATGTATTTCAAGTAAATCCTTATTTAATATAAAATGTGAAGACAATAATATAAGTAACTTAGGACAAACATTATTTCAAAGTTAAATTTAATTAACTTTTGCTAACAATTTGTTGATATATGTGGATCTGCACTCAAACCTTTTAGTTAAAGTTTCAAGTTCAAAGTGTCATAGATGAAAAAAAAATGGTGATCAATTAAATTGTTTTGGTAAAAAATAGTAATCTGTTATGAATAATAATTAGTGGCTTAATTAGTGGATGCCAATATTCATTATCAATCATTACCATTTATATGTCCGTTATGTATTATTCCCTTTTTGTGTAATTGTTCAGTTACCACATGTACTTATAAATAGGTTACTCCTCTCCCAAAGATAATACACTAGTCAGATTTTTTTCTCCATCTCATACTGTCTTGTTTCTTCTCTTTACTTTTTCTTCCTTTTATAACACGTTATCAGCACGATAGTCTTTTATCTATTGGTGTTGCAACTACAAGAGAAAGCTGTGAAGATTTTTTTCAAGACAAATATTTTAAGAATTGAACATGTCAAATATTGCGAAACTCGAATTTGT